AGAGAGAGAGAGAAAGTGAAAGCGAACGGGTGGGTAGTCGAGTGATTGACTGACGCGGCAGGTCGGACGGACAAAAAAAGCAACAAAAAAAAAAGAACGCGAAAAAGATTTAAATTTTTCTATCTCTGCACATACACACATAACTATCGTTCGGTCGGCACGGGCAGAACAGTGTGCACACTCGCGCGTTTTCTTTGTTACAAATAATGAGATTTAATTCTTTCTTTTTCTTTTTTTTTATAGATTTAAATCATCATTTAATTTTTTTTGTTGCTTTATGGATGATCCATCGTTATTACCTTTTTTAAATAATAATAATAATAGTAATGGACATCATTATTCCATTGACATTGATGAAGATGTTGAACATGAAGAAGATGAATTAGATGATGATGAATTACAAGACTATGATCAAAATCAACAATATCCCGAAGATGAAATTGATGAAGATGAAATTGAAGAAGATGATATTGATGATGATGAAGAAAATCAAGATGAACAAGAAATTCTTATACCTCCACCTCCACCACCTCCACAACAACAACAACAAATAATTCAATCGGAACGTGGTGGACGTCGAAAAGGCGTACCACGTCGTTTACAATTATCACCACAAATAATTAAAGCACCAGCTCCACAACAACGTTTATTACCATTAACATTACCTAAAACTTCAACAAGTGTACATCATCATGACCAACCAATATTGACATCCGATCAAGAAGATGACCAGCATGATGAAGATTTAAATAATGAAAATCATCTAGATGAATATTTTGATCATCATGATAATAAACAACAAAATTGTATTCAATTAGATTTATTAGCTAGACATTTAATTGAGAATAATGAAGATGAATATGATGAAAATAATAATAATAATCATAGTTATAATGATGAAGAAAATATTTTCGAAATTGTTGATGATCTTTTAGCTGATATTGTTACAACTATTGTTCGAGATATAAGAGAACAACGTCAAAGAAATTTTAAACAACAACAACGAATAACTAATGGTAAAACTAATGGACATTTAAATTATAAATCACAAACAAATGGTTACGCAAAATCAATACAAAAACAAGAACAAAAACTTACGAATGGAAAAATTAATACAAATGGTTTTACTCAAACGAACAGGTAAATTGATTTTCATTCAATTTATGAATAAAAAAAACATTTGCGATTTGTCGAAAAAATATAAAGCATAACAATTATATTTCTACTAGAAAAAGATTCGAATAGATTTATTAAATCTTTATGTATGTAAATTTCATTTACAATCGATTATATGAAACAAAAAAGTTTTATTTACTACAAAATATTTGAATTTGTAAAGAAACCTTATAGTAATCTTTTGGATATATTTGTCAATGAAACTTTCTATGGATTTGAATAAAAACTTCGTTTTTTTTGTCAATTTATATAAACAAAAATAGAATAATAAAAATCTTTACTTTTTTTCTAGCACAAAATCATCGAAATCTCATTCTCAACAATCTCTATCATCATCATCAACAACAACAAAAGTCTCAGATCCATCACTATTATTTAATGAATTTACTAAAATGATGCATTTAAATTCCCAACAACAATTAGTCAAACATAAACATTCACTATCATCATCTTCATTTTCTTCTCCGCCATCAGCTAAACGACAAAAAACATCAGATACATCGTCATTATCTCAACCAACGACACCATTATCACTTCAACAACAACAACATCAACAACTGCTATGGCAAATGACACAACAATTAATGATGTCAACACAAGCAAATGATCAAGATGGTTCATCATTACTTAAACAACAGCTTCTTGGTTTAACACCACCAGGTACAATACCAAAAAAAGTTGGTCGTCCACCAAAACAACAAAACCAACCACAAATTATGCGTTCAAGTACAAATATGATTCCACCAACATCTCATTCGTCAGCAAATACCTCGCCATTTGAACGTGGTAATTTTGCTCCAAGACGTCGTGGTAGACCACCAAAATATGTTACTGAACGAGGAGCAATTCCTGGTCTATCTTCTCATGATCTTGATGCATCACCATATGATCAACTTTTTGCTGCAATTGAAAATAGTGTTAATGGAAATTCTGCACGAACATCATCAGCAACATTACAATCAGCAATAGCATCTATGCTCGGACATCAGAGTGGCTTAACGATACCACCACCACCAATAATCCCTCCTCCAGCAGCTAGAAAGTAAGTTTTGTGAATCTAAGAAAAACGAATATATTTATAAACTTAATTTAATATTTTAGTGGTGCACCAGCATCAATGGTTAAACAGTCAGCCGGACAAACACGCCATAGTTTACCAGTTCCCTCAAATGCTTCGAAATTATCACATGGAGACGGAGGTAATGAACTTGATATGCCATTAATGGCTACAAAAAAACGTGGTCCTGGTCGACCACCTAAAACTCAAATGTTACTTGATTCTCATCAAGTTCTACAAGCAACTAAACGAATGAATTCATTATCATCGTTATCGAATAATACTAATATAAATAATAATACTAATAATAATTTTCCACCAACAATGGTACCATCTTCACCAACTTCATTTAATTTAAATGCTGCCTTTGTTGAAATGTTACAACAACAGCAACAACATCCACATTAACAAAAAATAAACTGATAATATTTTCATTTATTTCCATTTTCTTTTTTTCATTGAATCTAACGACGTGCGCGTGCTTCCATTTACTTTCCGTCCCTACAATCGTACATTCCTCAGATACTTCTTTTTCGCTTTCTCTCATTTATCTTGACCATTTCATGGTTTCTCTGTTGCCAGGTCTTATTGTGTAGAATAGACTGTGTTTTTTTCATGTCTGTGCTTGTATATCTATCTACGGATTTTTCTTTCATACAATGATCAAAATCAGTCCCGAGTTGCATTTTTTCTTTCGTTCTTTTTTCATTTGTCTGATTTGTTCTTTTGAATGGTCGCTAGTATGTATGTACACTGTCCCGTGTGAATGATAAAAGAAAACACAAAACGGCGCCGTCCTTACTATCGATTTGATAGTACTAAGTACCTGTATGTTTGTGTAAATAGGGAAAAAAAGTTTTTCTTTGTCTGTCTGTCTATTATTATTATTATTATTATTATTATTATTATTATTACTATTTCTGCTATTATTTACTCTTTGTTTGTCACGCCCGTCACATACACATTACCTTGTGTTCTTTTGCATTATATAAGAGGAAAAAAAAAGAATTAATATCACAAAGTATATAGTATATAAAAATCATGATTTATTATAAAACCTTGAATAAACCGTCTTGAACGATCAATAAAAAAGAAAAAGAATTATAATTGTATTGAACTCTATTTAATTCATTCTTTATATTAACATAAATCAATATGAATATATTGATAGACGAAAAGAAAAAGTATTTGTAAAATAATTTAACTATAAAGCATTTTTTTTGTAAAGAATAAAAAAATATTTAACATTAAAAAAAAACAGAAGCAATAAATACGAATATCGTATAATCTATTGATATTTTTTTTTGTTTAGTTCTTGAATAAACTGGATAATGATGCGTTAAAAATGAAAATTTTCGTATTATAATATATATTATCTTATTATTATAAATGTCAATTTTTTAAGTTTTTGTTATTAAAATAAAAAATGTATGTGTTTGCTTTTTTTTATATAATAAAAACTAAATAAAGATTAAAATTGTTGAATTTATTATTTCATTGCTTTATCAAAAGAGAATAAATATAAAATCTCTCTCTCTTTCTGTATTTATATTTGAAGAGAAACAGTGTGTCATAAAAAACTTATATAAGGTAAATGAAAGCGATCAAGATTTATTTCTTAGACATACCTGTCCGCCTACCTATCAACACAAGCATACTTCATGTACAATGAAACTCTTACAGTCATCGTACATTACATATATATTTGCCTTCTTCTCGTGTCACTTTTATTTAAAAACAAAACGAAAGGCAAAACAGATCAAAGACGAAGAAAAGAATATGAAGCATTTTGCTCTTATGCTATTCTTCATCTTTTTTTTTTATTTTCATTAATTAACGCGAATCATAATTAACTTTTTTTTGTTTTCAAATGTAGAAAATTATGAATAATTCAAAACGAATTGTATCATTTTTTATTTGGGTATGTTAAATATATAATTAATTAAATATTGTTATTTTTGTTTTTATTCAATCTATATAAAATAAAAGGATCCAGTATTGGAACGTAAAATTGATTGTGAAATTAAGATCATAGATGGAATTAGTAAACTACTTAATGTAGTTACAACACTTGAACAAACAATTGAATGTCATAAGGCTCTTATTCTTTCTCAACAACGGATGTTAACATATATGGCTGAACTACAAAGAAAACAAGAAAATTTACTTAAGCATGATAATATCAAGTATGAATATTGATGTATTTAATGTATTAGAATATTGTTTTTCTTTACTTTCTTAAGCCTTACACCAACAAAAGCAACAATTATTCTTTCTGATATTCGTTTACCATTAATATGGACAAAAATGAAAGCTAAATCAGGTTGAAATTTCTTCTTAAATAAATATAAGAATTTGAACATATAATTTTAGAACAAAAAACATTTGCTGTCTTTTGTTTGGCACGTATTGGATGTGAAATAATTGATACGACTATACAATTTATTGATAAACAAACAGTTGAAATATATTTTCCCGATAAACTTATTTTGTATGTTTTATAAATATTCAAATGAAAAAAACATTTTTTAATTTTAGTGATAATGTTCCACATAATTTTCAATTACATTTAGAAATTTATGCATTAAATAAACGCCTTGCTTTATCATCATCCGTTAAAGATTTTGCTGATCGTTATAGTTATTTTTCAACACATGGTTCACCAAAATTACGACGAAAAACATTAGAAGCAATTTCAACAGATGTAAGTAAATTAAATTGATCGAAATAAAAAAAAATTCAATTAAATTTCTAGTCAAAATCATCGAATGAATCACAATCAAAATTTGTTTTAATTGCTCAAACAATATTTACAAAAGAATCTATAAATAAACTACCCAAAGTTCGTTATTTAAAAATGGAACGTCCACAAGAAAATCCGCTTATGCAATTACCAATAAACGAAACATTTCTTGCATGTTTTATTGCTCAACCATTATGTTATACACGTTTAGCAACATTTGCTGGTATTGTCAAAATCTATAATGTACAATATTCATGTACATTAACTGCTGGATTTTTAAATGGTGAAGAAATTATGCGAGATGATTATTCAGATCAACATCGATTTTCTATAGCAATTACATCGGTAGACATAATTTTCGTATATTGATCCTAGGGTTTTTTCTATTCATTTCAAATTAGGATACAATTATTTTACCACATAGTGAAGATTTATCATTTTCAGTTTATAATCGTGGTTTTGCTATTGAAAAATTTTTTGTTGAAGATGTATTTACATTAAATAATTGGATTCGAGCATTGCAGCAACATATTATTGATGTTGGTATGAATTACTACTTGATATTTGCTTTTTCTTCAAGTTTTCTATTGTTCTGATATAGGTACTTGGCAATCAACTCTCGAGCATCTACCTTCTATGAGACGTCATTCTCATCATGCATTAACTTCAACACCAACATCGTCGATTAGTAATAGAACATTAACAAAAAGGAATAAGTTAAGAACAAAAGCGAGATCATTCCGTATGTATTATTTCATATTTGATCTTTAAAAATTTTATTAATATTTTAGATGATATTTATCAACCGGATGATTCCTCTCAAACAGTTGATCATCTCAATACTAATAAAGATGACGACGATAGTGATTTATCATTATATCGTACACGTTTGTAAATAGCTAACAATTGTTTGTTTCTTAATAATAAAAATAAATAAAATACTGATATAAGAATATTAAATTTCTTTTTCTGGAAAAAATTCAATGATAGTAATAAAATCTCGAATTACAACAGACATATTAACTCAATTGTATAGATAGTTATTGTTTTTATCTAATTGAAATACGATCTGAACATTTTTTTTTGAAAACTTTCAATAAGAAATTCCTATCCTTTGTATTATTGAATAATGATTATTCTCTATTCACTTATGAATGCATTGCTTGATTTATATATATACATATTTTCGCATCATCAATTCATCTCCTGTCTGACATTATATCCGTATCATGAAAAAAATGAATAAATTCATATTTCTATTACAGAAACATGCTATATTAGAACTTTGATGATTTCTTCATTGCCTTCTATGAAATTATGATAATCTGATAATGACATTGTCGCGTGTATGTTTCCTATCTGTAACGGATGTGCTGCAAGGCATATCGTAAATTTATTGGTCAAAAATTATCATTGGCTGCTTAAAACAGGTGCCTCGGAAATGTCAATTGAAAGAGAGAGAGAGAGATAGAGAGAATTAGTTTATTGTCACACACAATATTAAAAGAATGACTTTTCCTCTTATTCTTCTTTTTCGATACTATATGAAAATCTAGTACCCGAAAAAAAATTGATCATCTGTTTGAATTAAAATAAGAAAATTAATACTTTAATTTCAATATGTTCAATGTAAATAATGACTGTCAGCAACAATTAATCAAATTGGATGAAAAACATGTTCAGCAAGGTATTTATATTAAAAAAAATATGTATATGTGGGAAACACTTTTCCTCGTTTTTTCATTTATTTCTACTTGATGTCTCTTCTTTTTTTTATGAGTTCATCTTTCGTCACAAATATTCTCATCGACTGGTAATAATACTCATTTTCCCTCACCAAGAATAACGACGACGACGACAACAGCTTCGTCGTCACCTTCTCATGATAATACTCGATTATCAACAACATCATCATCATCATCGTCATCGTCGTCATCAAATATAGCTAAACCAAAACGTCATCGAACTCGTTTTACACCAGCACAATTGAATGAACTTGAAAGATCATTTAGTAAAACACATTATCCAGATATTTTCATGCGAGAAGAATTAGCAGTACGAATTGATTTAACCGAATCACGAGTTCAAGTAAATATTTTTTTTTGTTTAATTGATTTTCTTCTGAACATTAAGAATGTATTCAATAGGTTTGGTTTCAAAACCGCCGTGCTAAATGGAAAAAACGTAAAAAAAGTACGAATGTTTTTCGACAACATTCTGAATCATTAACTCCATATGGATGTTTATTAAATACATCAATAGATGGGCAGTCTTCATTATCACAAACAGATCATCATTATCATCATCAACATTTGAAGTGGCCACCAACTAATAATAATTCGAATCAATTCTCATTTTCATCACCAAATTTTTCACATGTAATCAATTAGAGAAAAATACAAATAAAACTATTTAATCTAGTAGTCTTGTTTCTTTAGATGGATCAAACATTACCACCACATTTTTATACATCAAATGCAATAACTGATTATGTTAATGTACCTCCACCACGACCACCACCACCGCCGCCGCCGCCGCCATCTACTTCACTTTTTTCGGGTGCATTACCATCGATAATCAATATCGATTCGATTAATTCAAGTTCATCATCAACATCATATAATTTAACATTTTCTTCTCCATCTACAACAATATCTTCAGGTTTAACAACAAATGGTAATGAAGATATTTGGCGTGGTTCAAGTATTGCTACTTTAAGACGTAAAGCTGTTGAACATCAAGCAGAAAACAATAATAATAATTACAAGTGATTTTTTTCTTGTAAAATTTTGTTTTCTTAGAAATATATTCATTACAAATTAATAGACTGTATTACATTTACAGTCTAAATAATATTTGTATTTAGAAATTTTTATGATTTCACAATAATTCGACAAAAAATAAATAAACAATAGTAGAAAAAAAACTAAATGGATTCATAATTTGTCGGTTTACTGTAGAATTATTTAGAGTTCAGTGATCATTTTGACATTGAATATCTGTATGATTGCACATTTTAGAATCATACAGAGCCGTTATGAATTTGTTAGGTTCAGCTGGAAATAATATGGGTATCTCATTAAAATTACATGTTTGTAATGGATATGTCCAAGTTTTTGGATATGAAAACATTTATCGTTTATACCATATGTTTTTATATTTTCTGATTGTTTTTTTCTTGTTGAATTGAAATAGTAGTCAAGGCAAAAAGGATTAGAGATGCCGACGGCAAAACTAGTGATGTATTTATATTCTTTTTTTCCATTCGTTGCTTATCCATCGTTAAAATGTAACTGTGAGTATCTATGAGCATACAAGGTGCAGTCAGTTTTGAGGGAGAAAAAAAATCTCAGGCCAGAAAATTATAATCTAAATAGAGATTAAAAGACGGATATAACGCAAAAAAGAGAACTGCGTTTGAAAATAAATCAACGACGGAAATACCAAGAAAACGACCGACAGATGGAAAAACAAATGACGCATTAATATGTTTAATTTTCAATAAACTCGTAAAAAATCAAGTATTTCATACTTTACCAAAGGAAATTTTTTTGAGAGAAACCATGGTGAATTTGACTTCGTGAAAACGCGATTGTTGTCAATCACGGGAGTTAGATCGCTTATTTAATTTTACAGTACGGCGTTTCGAAAACCAAATAAACAGCCTAACTACTGTAATTGAAAAGAACCATCGAAAATCGCATTTTCGTGAAGCCAACTTTACCACGGCTTCTCTCAAAAACTTTTCTTTTGGTAAAGTCTGAAAAAGTCGATTTTGACGACTTTTATGCAAAGTGAAATATGTTAACGCATCATTTTTTTCCATCTGTCAGTCGTTTTGTTGGTATTTCCGTCGTTGCTTTATTCTCAAACGTAGTTCTCTGTTTTGCGTTATATCCGCCCCTTAATCTCTATTTAGATTATAATTTTCTAGCCTGACGAGAGAAGTACCCGATGTGATAAACGGCATTTAAGCTGATATTCTGCCCGTAAGTAGGATCTGGTAAGACTAGAAAAAGCCTAGGAGGATAAGCGCCCATAGTCCTTTTCTTTCGAAGTTATGGTCATTATAGTGATCTTTTCACATATGACAAGATATTCATGAAAAAATCCACTTACAGAGTTTGGCCCTGAAATTCTGTTCACATATGGGTGTTATAACCCTTATCGTGGCCTAAAAGTTTCAGCCAAAACGAATGCTTCTTTCACGAAATACTAGGTACTCAAGAAAAGTCGATTCTTTTGATATATATAGAGCATAAAAGGGTTTTTTGAACGCTAAACATTTCGTGAAAGAAACATTCTTTTTGGCTGAAACTTTTAGGCTACGATAAGGGTTATAACACCTATATGTGAACAGAATTTCAGGGCTAAACTCTGCAAGTGGATTTTTCCATTAATATCTTGTCATATGTGAAAAAATAACTAAAATGACCATAACTCCGGAAGAAAAGGGCTATGGGCGCTTATCTTCCTAGGCTTTTTCTAGTCTTATCAGATCCTACTTATGGGCAGAATATCAGCTTAAAAGCCGTTTATCACTTCGGGTACTTCCCTCATGAGATTTTTTTCTCTAAAAAATGACTGCATCTTGTATGCTCATAGATATTCATAGTTATATTTTGACGATAGAGAAACATTCGATGGAAGAAGAGAACAGAAATACAAGAGTACTTTTAGCATCAACATCTCTAAACATTTTTGTCTTAGTTTGAAAAACCCTGTATTTTTCAAATGAGGGAATCATTCGAAATGTTCCACACTGTTTGAGGTTATATTGTGTTTTTGTATAGTATGTTATTCATTATGTCATAGCAAGTTTTGTGGCACCTTTCCCTCACAACAAATAAAAAATTAAGGTTTTTATGGTTTTTCATCAAAGATCTGTGTTCAATCAAAGTCATTAAAAATATCATTTTCTACGAGAGGAAAAAGTTTAGATTTCTGAGCTTTTTTACGTTCTTTTCCACAAAAATTCCAAAAGCTTTAAAAAAAACATTTTTCCTCGTTACATTTCACCCAAAACCTCAGCTTTCAGCTTTTTTCCTTGCTCCTCCCTCACAAATTACAGAAGCTTCATAGATAGATACTCTTAATTGAAAACGTCTGAATTTATATATTGAGGGTTTTTGCCATCTTTTCCTGCCTACAAACCTTAAGAATCGGACTTAACAGCAAGTTGAATATTGATTAGACATTGTGATCGAAGCTCAATGATTACGTTTTTTTAGTAATCTTGATGAATATGTCAGTACCATATTTTAGCCCCATAGGGGCTGCGCTGTCAAGCTCTGTCATCATAACATCACTAGTTGTTAACCCTTAAAAGCCGAAGGGGGTTCCCGTGAAGTTCAGGTAGAATTAATTACATAAATAGAGATTTTGGGCCTTCAATATGCACTTACCGTGGTTAGAACTGTTGGGTGTGACCAAAACTTTTTTCCACCCAGATGGCCTGGGTGGAATATGACCTTCATAATTTTTTGTGCGCTTTAGTTTCTAATATGGTTCAGAATCACTGTAAGTTCATTCTGATGATATTTTAACATATCTCCAATTATCTGTTGAGCGAAAAATTCACAATAATCGTGATTACTATGCCCAAAAATGCCATTAAAACGGTACTTTTTTGTAACGTCAGAATACCTTAGTAGAAGAGTTAAAAGCGTGCAAAGTTGTTCTAAACTATAGTTTAGGGTCATTTCTAATGATATCACTCAGAATCTATATTGTATATATCAATATCCGAGTAACCAATTTTACTTGAAAAATTATACATTCTAAGAGCTAGGTTTGGGCGTTTGGCAACTGTTTGACAACTGTTTTAGCATAATGTTGTTCCATCATACTTTCACTATGACTGTCTTCGTCCCTAAAAACAGTAGCTTTTGCAGAAAAGACTTTATTCCTTCGTTCTATAGCGTTTAAGGCAATGTCCATTGAAATGGACATACGGCTTTTAAAGGTTAAGAATTTTACAGAATAAGCCTTGAGTGCATTGGACTTGGCTGTTACAGTTTAAGAATGAATGCTGTATGATGCTGCCTAGAACATGAATTGGTTTTCAGATAAAAAGATTGCTTTTGCTGAACTAACTTCACGGCTAGATATTTTGTTAATTCTCATAAGTAGAACCCGCCACAACTTGAAAATTTTTAAAAAAATACTGACGTATAGAACATCATCCTCTAGTTGAGATTATATTAACAGGCCTACGAACGAGGTAGTTCGGCTCATCATTTTTAAGATATTTTATGCCTATCATAAATGACATGCATCACTAGAATGATTTTGTGATTGAAAAACTATATGGATTTGAAATTGAGCAATACAAGAAAACGATATAGGACTTCAAGACTTTCATAGAAGAGGATTTATGAAGCCTCAAAGACTCTTGATGGTAGTGTGAAGTAAGGATGAAGATGAGAGTGTGAGGGAGCATGAATAATTTTTTCATCTGTTACAGTTCTATGCATTCCCATACTCTCGTCTTAATCATTTCAGATATATTATGTTCAAGATGATTTTATTATTATATTATATCATTATTAATATCGTAATGGTTTCTAACTCAAACACATGGCGACCTTTTTACAATCTTTATAATACAGATACGATGACCAATGATTTTGATCATGATTGTTTCTATTCACCACTAACTCAAAATATCGATTTAGATGAAAAAACTTATATAATTGAGCAAATTGTTGAATATTGTATTCGATCATCTCCGACGGAAATAATCGATGTTAATGAAAAATCAATATCATCTAAATTAACTTTTGATGAATTAAAAAAGAATAATATAACTTCTACAAATCTATTGGAATGGTCGAGTCCTATTGATCTTATCGAACGTTACGAATACTTTCTGCAAATGAACACAATTTCATCAACTGAAGTATTTTATAATTGTACTCTACCATGGTTTGGATCAATTTGTCAATATAGATTTGTTTTAAATCAATCATTTTCATCTTTTATTCAAATGAGAATTGACGAGCGTAAATTGTTCAATGAAAATACGACATTAACGTGTTATATACATATGAAATGTGACAATCATTCATTTTTAACCTGCCTTGATTGGCGTGAAATATGTGATGGCAAAGTGAACTGTCTTGATGATGGTGAAGACGAAAAATATTGTGCTGAACTTGAAATGAATCAATGTGAAGAAAACGAATATCAATGCCGAAATGGTATGTGTGTGAATAAAGAATTCTTTTCAGATGAAGATACTTCACTGATTAGTATCCATAGTCCAGAGTGTTTGGATGGATCGGATGAAATTGCTTTTAAAAAGAACAGTTTCTGTGGAAGAGACCCATCTTTTAGATGTGAAGATACTCTCTGTCTAAAATACACAGATTTTAACTGCGGAGATGGATATTGTTATGATTTGGCTGGATCTCGAGTATTATCCTGTGAAAATAATCGAGATCGAGTATTAAACTATCTATTTGATTGGGACAATCTTGTGGATACACTATATCCTCGTTGTTTCAAAACTCTTATGTGTGTATCATACCCAACCTTATCAAGGAACTTTGATAAATATTGCAAAAGCTTGTGTAATAATACGCAAGAATGTAAAATACAAACTGTCAAAGATTGTCCAACTCCATTCATTGCACCTACATTTCCAATATGGGATGGTCATGTAAGATTTGGCTATTTTTCTAATGCAACATCTATTAAACTCTTTGGACATGAACCTGACTTCGTATGTTATAACAAAGAGCTTTGTCCATTTCTCAATCCAACATTTACACTAGATAATCATACATGTTCACATACTAGCCGACTAAATTTAACATTAAGTAATACTGTATATGACATTTTTAGAGCATGTAATCAACTCTTTCAAAATGATAATGAGAGTATCTGCTTACACCCAACTACAGTACGTTGTTTAGGAACAAATAAATGTATACCTACGCGTCGAATCATGAATGGGTTTGCTGATTGTTATAATGCTTTTGATGAGTCAATTGCAGCTAACTCCTGTGCGTTGAATGATAAACATCGTTTTCAATGTACATCTGAACAGAAATGTCTCTCACTTCTGCTTGTGAATGATGGAAAGGCGCAATGTATTGGTAAAGAAGATGAGGCTTTGTTTAATGATATCGTAATTACGATTGATTATCTTCCTTTTTCTGCTTTCTGTAACAATCGGGTTGATATAGTACCTATAGAAAATGAAACTGATGAAACTCATTGTGAACAATGGCCATGTGTGAATCCATATACACGTTGTAATGGAGCATGGCAGTGTCCAAAAGGAATTGATGAAATTAATTGTTCATCGAGTTTTCAATGTCCTGCAAATCATCATCCTTGTTTATCTCCACAGAGCCGCAAAATGGATTGTTTACATATAAATCGCATTGAAGATGGAAATATTGATTGTCTTGGATCAACAGATGAACGATCTCATTGTAGATTACAACAACCAGAAAATGAATTGATGCGTTATCGCTGTTGGAATGATACAAAATGTACTACAGCTCCTCGTGCCTGTCAAGATTGCGATAAGTCCAACGAATTCGATCAATCATGTGATTGGTTTAATGACAAAATTATAGACATTATTAATTATGTAAATCATATAGACGATACTTATTTCTTAAAGAGACAGCCATTCTCTCATAAATCATCACGTGGTTTTCCTCCAGTCCAATTATCATTACCGATTCACAAGCAGATACAAAATGGTATGATAACAACTGAGAAAATATCTGCTATTAAGCATAACAATGATCCAAGATTATGGTTATGCAATAAAGGATTTATAGTTCTTGTTGGTAAAAATGAAACAGAACAATGTCTTTGTCCAGAGAGTTATTATGGTGATCTTTGTCAATATCAAAATCAGCGTGTTAGTCTCACTATTCGATTACGTCAAGAAAATTTAAGAAATATAAATGTAATTGGTATTATTATTAGACTTGTTGATCATACTGGTTTTGTTCATTCGTATGACCAAATTACATACAAATCAGTAATTAGTTGTAATTCGAAATACATGATGCATTTTCTTTATCAAAGTCGTCCGAAAGACATGATGAAGAATTATACAATCTATATTGATGCATATGATAAAGTAAATCTTGCTTATCTTACAAGTTGGATTTTTCTAGTAAAATTTCTTTTCATGCCTGTTAATCGTATGAGTGCTCAATTGATAATTCCAGCACAGCAAGATTGTCATTTATTATGTAGTGATAAATATCTAAAATCATTAGCAAATGACAATATCCAATCTTGTCGATGCTCAAATTGGGTAAATTCACTTTCTACGATACAATACAAATGTGATTGTTCATCAGACTCAATCTGTGTTGGTCGTAAAGAAAATCGATCAATTTGTCTATGCCCTTTGAGCAAAACAGGACCTCGATGTTATCTTAGTTCAGTCTGTCAAATGAATAACACATGTATGAATAATGGTACTTGCATACCATATGATTCTCGACAATCTTTAACTAACTTTACATGTGTTTGTCCAGATGGATTCTCTGGCGAACTTTGTGAAAAGGCAGATATAAGAATAGATCTGTCGTTTTCTGACGTAGAAGCTCCACAATCTCTACTTATTCACTTTATCAACGTTGTGCCACGCAGTTTTACAAGCGGAAAAACAGAACCTATTCAAGTAACTATGTTCAAGAAAATTCTATTCAATGAAAAAACTATAACTTTACATATGTCATTACCCTTTCATCTTGTTTTCGTCGAATTTAAGAATATGTATTATCTTATTATTCTTCAACATGATCATACACCTTCAGTTATTTTTTCTACACAAATCTCTCAATCACAACGTTGTCGACACATAAAAGAAGTATTAGATGAAGTCAAAGTTGGTTATCCACATCTTCGTCGTGTAAAATACTACCACGATATATGTCAAAATCATTCTGATCTTACTTGTTTTCATGATAATTATACATTTATGTGTTTATGTACAGAACAAAAACAAGCGAGTTGTTTTCATTTTAATTTTACTATGACTTACGATTGTAAAGGTCAAAATGATTGTCAAAATGATGGACGATGTTTTCAAGACGATCCACATTGTCCAAAACAAAAAATGTGTGTTTGTCAAGAATGTTTTTATGGTGATAAATGTCAACGCACTACAAAGCATTCTGGTCTTTCACTTGATTCTATTTTAAGTTATCATATTAATCCACATCTATCATTAATTCAACAGTCTTCACCTGTTCAAATTAGTATAACTTTAGCAACACTAATATTGATTACTGGTCTCATTAGTGGAATTCTATCGAATCTGACATTTCAAGTCAAAGTAACTCGAAAAACAGGTTGTGGTTTTTATCTTTTGACTTCGTCAATTACATCGATTCTAGTCGTCATTTGTTTCTATATTAAATTATGGATACTTGTTCTTTCTCAAATGAAAGCTATAACTCAGCAATCTTTTCTCCTGTTCAATTGTACTTCAATTGAATTTATTCTTCGATTTTTATTAGCTACGACTGATTGGTTACATGCCTTTGTGACAATTGAACGATTTTTTGTTGTTTTTCTTGGTATTCGTTTTAATAAGGCAAATAGTCGACGATTAGCTAAAATAATTATATTTCTCATTATTGTATTAACTGCTGCATCTCTTATTCATGATCCAGTTCATCGTCGTCTAATCGATGATATTGAAGAGCAAAGAACATGGTGTTTGGTTGAATTCACATCTAAAGTGGAAACTTATAACAGATTTATCAATATATTCCATTTTATTATTCCTTTTGCAGTAAATGTTATCTTAGTCATTGGTATTATCATTATTACTGCAAGACAACGTTCATCCGCACAAAGAAACGTTACCTTTCAACAACAATTAAAACGCCAGTTTGGTCAGCATAAACATCTTATCCTTAGTTCAATTTTATTAATTATCTTGGCATTACCTCGTCTGATCACTTCTTTTCTACCTAATTGTATGAAAACACCAAAAGAATATAAATTATTCTTGGCCAGTTATTTCATATCGTTTATTCCGCCTATACTTCATTTTTTCATTTTTGTATTAACATCGAAAATATACAAAAAAGAATTTACTGCAATGTTCAAACAAAAATGGGAAAGATTTCAACGCTGGTTTATTCCAACTCGTCTGTTACGCAGAGAACATTGAATGAGAAAAATTTTCAATCATCATTTATTCAGCTTTTGTTTTGGTATATTTTGCTTGTGAATGTTGTATTTTCTATGCTTTTGTTGAAGAATTATAATAAAACTAACTAAAACGAAATAGTATTTAAATAATTTATTATAATCAAACTAAATACAAATCAATCAAAAATAAGTCAACTTTCGATGTTTGATACAGCTCCTCATTAGATTGATATATTGATGGGAAATTGCCACGTTCTACGTTAATTTTCAATTGTTTTAATATTAATAAAATCATCAAGTTCAATTTACTTTCTTCATTGTTTGATTTATTCAATATTTTCGTATGGTTTCATTTGCGACTCTAGTTAGCTATTCATTTTTGGCCTTAGCTCCGATCCGCTTTGCACATTTTGGCTTATAGTAGGGTGTGGCTCTTGAGGGTGTGGATGTGGATGAAATAAAACAAAACATCCACACCCACCCTCTCTTTCTGTCTTCTGTGAGCGCATGTGCCTAGATAGGAAGGGCAAGGTGAGAAAAGCGGTTCCTAGAAACTGTGAGGACCCGCGGGGAACTGTGAGGACCTACTAGATCCGATGAACTAGGAGCCGCTTTTTCCCGCTTACATGGAATAGTCTCGTTAATTTCTGTTTATCCCAAACGACGAATATAATTTACACATGCAAATTAGTTCTCTGATTAAAGAAGATTATCGATTGATGTATACCTATGAAACAAAATTTTTTTTATTATATGAATGCAAAATATTAACTATATGACATTGATTTATGATTAACATAAATCTTAGATAGATTATAGAGGAAAAAATTTGCTGCAATTTTTATTAAATTGCAAAGAAAAATGCATTTTTTTTATTTCATTTCAAAACATGTATGCAATGTTTTTTTCCATTTATTGTTTATATTTTAAAAAATATTAATTTTCTTGTTTATTAAGCTATTTTCTATTTTAAATCATTCTTTATCTCTATTTTAATTAAAGCTTAACTGTTCTTTTTACTAACTAAAGATACCAAACATAAATCAAACACAAAAAAGAAAAACAGAAAATAATAATTTTAAAAACGTAAATTGTTTTTTTTAATTCATAGCCAACATAGGCTATGATAATGTCAATCGTTGTTGTTGTTTCTTAGCATATTGTTGAACAACAGATATTGTTTGATGTATCCATTGATTAATTGATTCTGTATTATTCAATAGAAGTAGTCGTTTTTCAAGTTCACACAATGATGGTACTATAGGAGGAAAAAAGAAAATAATAAATTAAAATAAATAACCACATATTATCTAGCAAGCTAAGCAATCAAGCAATATATTAAATTTAAACTAAGCATTCAAGTCTCTATATTGACAATCACTACATCATCGCTAGTAGTAGAAATATAATGATGATCTAGTCAAGCATACAGATTAAGATATACAATAAGAAAGCATGTAAGATTAATTCTCATTAAAAATTTCATACCCGTTGGACTTTCACAAACAGCTTGAAGATAATCTGTGTGAATACATGATTTACATATAACAACACGACATCTTCGATCAGATGGACAACGAATTGTCTAATTACGAAAAAAAAATATTCTATTGTAAAACCAAAAACAATCCGATAGAAAGAGTTTTACTTACATTACATAAATGACTAAGTGATGGACATAATTTTCTTATACATCCATTTTTATCATGTACATATTGACCAACTTCATATTCACATGGACTACCACGAATGACTACTGGAGGACATAAAGGTTTTAACTCGGCTACACCCAGTGATACTATGATAGCTAAAATATAGTATTACGTGTACGCCAGATGTTGAAAAAATAAATCAATATTTAATATGTAAAAACTTTCTATGCATACAATGAGATTATTATAACGTTAAAAACCTATGGAATAAGATTTCAGTAAAGTATATCATATATTCATGTAACGGTGAATACTCTGTATATATGTCTAGTTGATTACTTCCGCGTTCGAAGAATTAAACAAATATGGATTTTTCTTTCCAGATCAATTACTTGTCATACAAGATAGGAAATACAATATCGTTAGTTCTAAATATTTGAACTAAACTTACGTGGAAATTGTGTTGCTACTGTTGTAGGTGGTGGTGGTGGTGTTGTTGTTATAATCGGTTGAAAACATGAATGTATTTTATACCATTGAAATACTGTTATTGACATCGTTCCACATTTATAATTAATTGATTTCCATTGCCGATCAATCACACTAAGACATTGTATAAGTAATGACTTATATTTTTCTATATATCTTGTACGAATTTGACTTTGTTCATAAGTTGTAAAATATTTATTTAATAAATTATATCGTTCAGTATTATTACATGGAGGATAACAATTTCGAAAAGAATCAATACTACCATTAATATATATCCATCGTTTAGTTGGTAGATCACATCGATAAGTCATTTCAATTGATTGATTAAAATAACATGATAATCTCACATTATAAAAATATGGAGAATATGATGATAATTTAGTTGGTTGTATATAACGAAATTGAGTAGGTAATTGGGATATTAATAATGAAAGTTCCATTTGTGAACAGTCGCTATCTAAATCATTGTTTTATTATATTAATATTAAGGATAATCTTCATTCAGATTTCATACCTCTAACTACAGTTGTAGTAGATGGTGCTATATATGATAGTGAAGTTGTAGTAGATGATGCTGTATATGATATTGAAGTTGAAGCTATTTGAAAGGATAAGAAAAGGAATTTAAGCGAAATGTTTTAAATTAGTAGTAGTATGTCACAACTACTAATGTGTAGAGTACCTATTTATTAGTTTTTCAAATGATTTTATATAAAAGATTATGAATATGTATCAAGATCGAATCTTTTAGTGTTAATTTGCATAACGATAAATAATGTCTTAATTTATTCCTTATCATCTACGATGGAAATCAAGCGAAACATAGATCAAAATACAATGAAATCAAGCATAAAATTTTCGATACATGTCTATCAATCGTATCCTTCATTTTTACTCATGCCATATAACAATATGATATACAACTCGATGTGTGAACTATAGTATTCTTAAACGAATCTACATTTTTTTCTCAACGCTTTATCACATATATAAATACAAAAGTCAAGTAGAATTATTCAACTACTTACTTGCAGGTATTATCTTTGTAGTAGATTCCAAAGTAGGAGCTGATGTGGCCAATGGAGGAATCTTATACTCAGCTAGATAAAATGAATAAATTAGATTTGTTTCTTTTTTTTTGATAGATTTCATTTTTAAACTTACGACAAGTAAAATTATTATTTTTATAGATTGATATCCATTTCTTAGTTTCAGTATCACATTGATATTCTATTTTAATATCTTCACTATAATCTGGATGTCTACATTTAATCGAAGCTTTTGTTCGATTAGCTGATAAAACTAATAATTCACCCGTATGATTATAGTTGATTGATATTTGACATTCTGTATATAAAAAATAGCAGTCTTATGTTATATATGAAAATAAATATTTACGATCTTTTGGTCGTATACGTTTACAAATATAAGGTGCTAGTTTCCATTCATAATGTGTACTCAAACAAATTAATGAATTATTTTTATTACATAATAAATTTATCATAACACGTTCACGATTCATTTGACTGCAACCCTTTTTTGAACACCATAAATGATCTGGTATAGATTCAAGTCCATTTTTCCATAAATATATTTGACTATCAGCTAAAAGAAGAAATGAAAAACAACTTTTTATTTTTCTTTTCCAAAAATTTTATTTTAATAACTTTGTTGAATTCCATCAATCCATACAAAATTTGCAAAACCATAATGTTGATTTGACCTTCCACTAAATGTTAAACGTGTTTCATTTATATAATTTTTCATAATATCTGTAATTAATATTCTTTCTTCTTCATTATCAATCGTTAATAAATTTGAATCCTTGTCTAATGATTGACATGCTTCTTGAGCTGTAGTCCATTTTGTACAAAAAGCTTGTTTCTTCAATGGACAAGTTTGTCGACGTAAACAAAATGTATAAATATGAGAACCACTTTCAACATTTAAACAACGTTCCTCATCATAATAAATTAATGTAGAATCTGATTAATAGGAAAAAAAAGGAAATATAATGAGAATTAAAAGTAAAGTAAACTTACGTTTTTCATAAGGTGGTATTACAGGTGTAGTTGTTGGTGTTATGGTAGTCGTCGATGTTGCGATAGTTGAATTTTTAAGAAAAGTATAATTGGAAATTGGTTCTAGAAAAATTTTATATTTGAATTATTTAATAGAATTTCAATATTTTTACCTTCATTTTTTGTCAATGTTCGTTTACATATAAATGGTCCAGGTTCTGATTTTGGTCTCGATGATAGGCAAACTTGAAGATCTTTTTCATTTGGTTGGCATATAATATTTAAAATAACATGATCACGTCCTTTTCCACCGGAACAATTTGTCATAGTATTACACCAATATTTATCGTTAATTGTTGTTAAAACATCTCCACTTATATTCCAATGATAAATATTATTTGAATCTATATGAACAAAAAAAATTCAAATTTTTTAATTTTATTTTTTTTATAAAGACCCAACCTCTTAGTCCATCAATCCATATCCATTGTGCACGTGGAACATTTTTATTTTTTATTGTACCATCTGAATTCATTAATGTTTCATGTCCATAACGAGATACAATATTATTTATTAATTCATATTCATCATCATTTTCTATCGACAATAAATTTGAATTATCTTTTTCTTTTTGACATACATCATAAGCTTGAAATTTAGCTGTACAAAATGCACTTGTTGCTCCTTGTGTACACACTTGACGACGAAAACAAAATGTATACTGATGTGTACGTGTCCGAACAACTAGACATGATGTTGAATCATAAAATACAATTGTATCATCTAAAAATATTCTTATTGATT